TGGCAGCCGATAGAGCGGAGGAGAGCGAGGTGGATTTGAGTCCCGTCAAGAAAAAGAGAGTCACAAAGAAGAACGGTTGGTTTCCTCTTCAGAGTGCACCAGTTTTTGTCAGTGTATCTCTAAATAGAGTAACTGAAGCAGAGGCTATGAATGAAAACTACATGACAACATTTGGGTTAAACGATTGACAGCCTGCTGAATTTAACTTTGCAGACAGACCAAAGAAAAGTCCCCAAAAGACTCTGAAATCCAGGAAGGTGCCCAGCAGTGACCCCAAATCCAGACTTGTGGAAATGGGAACCCAGACATCACCCGGACTTGCCCAAAAATCCAGAGGCAGACCCAAGAAAACGAGCACCTGAACATCCACCTCACTCCTCCTCTCAGGCTTTTATGTTGGATTTACTTTGGGCTGGTACACTGTTACACTGTGCTAATAGATGCTGATGTTTGATTGCATTGTAACAATAAAGAGATAACGACATTGATCAGTTGTTCTTATTAAAACTTCTGGGCCAAAGTGTGAAGAAGCTCAAACTTCAGTTGTCCTGTTGCTTTTTTATGGCACGTTTGAGGAACTCAGTGGCACATGAATTAAGAACGAGTCCATAGATGGCGCTGTCTTTAAACTGGGGGTAAAGAAATGGTTTCCCACTTGTCTGCAGATGCTGAACAATAATCGGATTGCTGTATCAGAGAACAACTTGGGGTTGGTATCTGTCCCAAGGATACTTGGAGACTGGATCGAACCTCCCACCTTCTGATTAGAGGATGACCTGCTCTACCTCCTGAGCAGTGATGGGAACAACGGGGTTAGAAGTAACGGCGTTACTTTTTTCAGTAATGAGTAATCTAATTACTATTTCTATCGTTACAACGCCGTTACCGTTACTAACAAGAAAATGCGGTCGCGTTACTATGTTTCAACAAACAGACGGCTGAAGCTGTGTTCAGCTTACAGCTCCTTATATCAGCTGCAGGAAGTAGCTGTAAGTAATCTGGACGCTACAGCTTTAAGCAGCTGCGCGCTCCCGCGGACAGCGATCACTTTCTGGCTGACATCACTTTTTGGCACAACACCTGGAGCTAAGGGGGCAAAATAATCGCATGAGTGCTGCTGTTTGACTGAGGAAGAATAAAGTAGTCGTGGTAAGCCAATCACATGACCACTTACAGACAAAGCAACAAGGTGACTCGACAGCGCAGCGAGCTCTCTGCTTATGAGTCAAAAAATTAAAAAACAAACCAAAAACAGCCTGTTGGTAGAAAAATGCACCATGTCGACCAATCAAAAAATTATATGGCAACATGACATTTGGTTGTTTAGGAAGAGGAGGAGTGATGAAGAGAGAGAGCGAGTTTTGAGATGTGAGAGATTTGTGACGTTTAGCGTGTTTGGAGTGTGTAGTTAATGTGTTGTCTTGTGTAGTTAGTGTGTAGTGTTGTGGATAGTTTTGTGTTGTGTGTCAGAACAATGAGGCGACTGCTGTCTCCAGGTAGAAACAG